AAGACCGTAAAGCTGACGCACTCAGACTTCTCAATGATCGTCATACGTATGAAATTTTACCTACTGATCCAATAGTTCAATATTATTATTATTATTATACAGTATTTATAAAGCGCCAATAGTTCGCTCAGCGCTGTACATTACAGAGGGGAACAGAAAATGTGACAGAACAATACCAATACAATGCAAAACATGAGGGGATCGAGGGCCCTGCTCTTTCGAGCTTACAATCTAGGAGAACTCAAAAAGAACTTAAGGTATTGCTAGATAAAGCACTGTCTGAGGGAGTATTCACTAAAGAAGAATTTCTATTTCTATGCATTAATCATCCAGGCTCCCCTTTCTTCTATCACTTTCCGAAAATACACAAAAACAAGGAAAATCCCCCTGGTAGACCTATAATTGCAGGCATAGCCAGTCTCTCCAGCAACCTAGGTTGTTATATTGACCAATTCCTAAAATAAATCGATGTCAACCTCCCATCCTGGGTCAAGGATTCTAATCACATACTTGACATACTGATTACACGTGGCAACAAGGTTATAGATGGCTATCGTTGGATGTAGTATCATTGTACACTTCGATCAAACATGATCACAGCCTTCGAGCCATATAATATTTTTTAGCAAACGATCTACCATTCCACTACACACAAGCCCAGTTTCTTTCTACCTGCATAGAATTTGCCCTATAACATAACCATTTTACTTTTTTGGACAGACATTATTGGCAGATACAGGGAACTGCCACGGGAGCTAGATTTGCCCCCAGTTATGCAATTCTTATATGGACTACTGGGAAGACCACTACATTTGGGTTAACAATCCATTTAGTGATTAAAATGTGAAACAAAAATCCCCTTACTTAAAAGTGAATAAACTCACTACTATAAATAATTTCGTGCTTACAAAAAAAACACAAAAAATTCCTATAGTGATGGTGAAAAACCAGTCTTATTGACGGACATAATAGTGTATATTCAAACAAATATACATAAAACACACAATGTGCACTAATATATATATATACCTACACAAATCCCATAAAGTGGATAAAACAACCTCATGTGCAAAAGTGAACTCTGATTAGTGACATAATATACACACGATAATCTCTTTTCATGCGTTTTTAGAGTCCAATCTTTTAATCACACTCCAGTGAACAAAACAACTTGTGCTGATATCCGTGTTCAAACGTGGTTTGATGACTATACAAAAAACCATCCGATCACCGGCTGGATTAGCCTCTCACCTTCCAGACTCGACCCTTGCGAGTCACAGCGTTTTAATAGGATCCCTCTCACAGATCCTCCAGGTTATCACTCCAAACGACAGCTCCCACTATATGCAGATCTCCCTCTGGGGATCAGAACTCCAATACTGGCTCCTTCTCCAGGCAGGATCACATACTGCGCTACACCACTCACATGTAACATAAAACACAAGCTTCCATTGTGTAATATGTTTATTGCCATAAAAATGGTATAATAGAATGCGCACTTACATCAATTTGCTGTAAATCGGGGCTCCCACCGCATGCTTTTGGATGTCATCTGCATGGGTGTACAAAGTACCAAAGAGGTGTACCAAAATGGCCGCCACGCCGGAAGTACGTCACTACGTCGGGCCTACGCGTTGCGTCACAGTACCATGTGACTTCCTCAGCTGAGGATTATTTGCACATTGATTTATTTGTACATCAAGCGATTAGCGCTACATTTTGTTTCACATTTTAATTTCTGAGGATCATTGGATACATGATGTAATGTTGGCAGCCTTTCGCTATTAATATCATTTAAAATCAGTCTGAGCGCAGGAGGTTCACACCACTAATCCATTTAGTGAGAATTTAATTTTATATGTCAGATATATTGATGACATCCTAATCATCTGTAATGGCACTGTTACAAGTTACAGTTACAAGGCTAAAAAGTCTTGATGAAAATCCCTATGGAATCACATCCACCCACCAACTAGTTTTCTTAGACCTTGAATTGAGACAATGCTGGGGGCAACATTTGTTCGAAAACACATTTTAAACCCACAGCTGGTAACTCATATTTATATGCGGAAAGTAATTCATCTGCAGTGTATAGAAAATGGCCCCTATGGACAATTCTGCAGACTAAAATGTACATGTACTCTTAAACAAGACTACATCAAACAAAGCTCCATCCTTAAAAGTATATTCAAGGAGAAGGGATACAACACCCATATTGAAATAGCATACAAAAAATATCTACATCTTTATGACAATAATCCTATAGATCCTAACAATCAGACTACCCCTGAAAAGTCCACAAGCCCAAATATCACCAACAACAAAGTGCAGTTCATTTCCTTAGTTGCTCATTTCAGATACTGTACAGTAGCCATAGTATCCCTACAAGGGCTCAGGGCATGTTTCACTATATTATTAAGCAGTTATCTCCATCGGCTTTATAGTCATGTCGTTCCCCACAATCATACAGCGAAAATTTTCAACTGTGCCCTCACTGTCCTGTTTTCTCCTAGGTTCATATTTTTCCTGTGCTGAAACTCCAGGAGACAGTGTGATTCGGTTTGCACTTTGTTGTAACTTAGGCTTAGTAGCCTTATCTACAGTCTAGTTTAACCTTATCCTCCCCCCTTCTAATTATTTATCCTGTCCACCCACTGCTCCTCTGTCCTGACCTGGCTGGGGTCCTGGTTCTGGTGGACGTCTCTGTCTCTGACTGACAGCTATAATTGCTTCCTTATTATCCCAGACATTAATTCCAAGAAAACATGGGTAAACTGATAGATAATCCGCCGGCAAAGCCAACGGAGCTGAGGGGCCATTGTCCCTCAAGTCACACTGCATCTGGGAACTTTCCTTACTGTCTACTTTGTTCGCATTATGGTACAATGGAGCTAGCTGCAACCACATTTCACCACACTCCTTCATATACACTGCTCAAAAAAATTAAAGGAACACTTTTTAGAGTATAGCATCAAGTCAATTAAACTCCTGGCATATTGCTTGGGTCAGTTAAGTAGCAGAGGGGGTTGTTAATCAGTTTCAGCTGCTTTGATGTTATTGAAATTAAAAGGTGCAGTAGGGCAACAATGAGACAACCCACAAAAGAGGAATGGTTTTACAGGCGAAGGCCACTGACATTTTTTTCCCTACTCATCTTCTCTGACTGTGTTTCACTAGTTTTGCATTTGGCTAGGGTCAGTGTCACTACTAGGAGTATGAGGCGATACTTGGACCCTACAGAGGTTGCACAGGCTGGCCAACTCCTCTAGGATGGCACATCAATACGTGCCATTGCCAGAAGGTTTGCTATGTTTCCCAGCACAGTCTCAAGAGCATGGAGGATATTCCAGGAGACAAGCAGTTACTCTAGGAGAGCTGTACAGGGCCGTAGAGTCCTTAGCCCATCAGCAGGACCGGTATCTGCTCCTTTGTGCAAGGAGGAACAGGATGAGCACTGCCAGAGCCCTACAAAATGACCCCCAACAGGCCACTGGTGTGAATGTCTGAAAAAACAAATCAGAAACACTTCATGAGGGTGGCCTGAGGGCCCGATGTCCTCCACCATAAAACTTGACTGGCATTTGCCAATGAACACCGGAAGTGGCAGGTCCCCCACTGGCACCTGGTGCTTTTCACAGATGAGAGCAGGTTCATCCTGAGCACATGACAGATGTGAACAGGTCTGAAGAAGCCATGGAGAACATTATGCTCCCCGTAACATTGTTCAGCATGACAGTTTTGGTGGTTGGTCAGTGATTGTCTGGGGAGGCATATCCATGGAGGGGCGCACAGATCTCTACGAGCTAGACAATGCCATTCGGCATCGGGATGAAATTCTTGGACCCGTTGTCAGACCCTACACTGGTGCAGTGGTTCCTGGGTTCCTCCTGGTTCAGGACAATGCCTGGCCTCATGTGGAGAGTATGCAGGCAGTTCCTGGAGGATGAAGGAACTGAATGGCCCCCACGCTCGCCTGAGCTAAATACAATAGAACACCTCTGAGATATCATGGTTTGGTCCATCTGTCGCCACCAGGTTGCACCTCAGACTGTCCAGGAGCTCAGTGATGGCTTGGTCCAGATCTCGGAGGAAATATCCCAGGACACCATCTGTTGTCTCATTAGAAGCATGCCCCGACAATGTCAGGCATGCATACAAGCATGTGGGGTCATACAAACCATTACAGTACCATTTTGAGTTGCTGCAATGAAATTTCAGCAAAATGGACTAGCCTGCTGCATCATTTTTTAACTTTGATTTTTGGGGTGTTTTTGAATTCAGTCCTCCGTAGGTTGATAATTTTCATTTTCAAACGATGGGGCATCCTTACGTTCCTAACACATTACCCAGTCCATATCAGTATAGATATCCACCATGATATTTTTCCCCATTGAGATCTGATGTGTTTTCAAAGTGTTCCTTTAATTTTTTTGAGCAGTGTATTTCATATCCCACTTTGGATCCCCCTCATAACATAGAAATGTTTCTATATTACCTAAACAACAACCCTTTAACTACCTGCCGACCGCAGATAGCCGAATGACGGCTTCACTGCGGCCGGCCAGTTCTGAGTGGACATCATATGACGTCCTCCCAGAATGCGCTCTCCTGCACGCCCCAGGGGGCGCGCACCCGGCGATCTCCGTGATCGCTGTGTCCTACGGACACAGCTGATCACGTGATGTGGTAAAAGGCCAATCACAGCGGCCTTTTACCACGTGATCAGCGGTGTCCAATGACACGCTGATCAGAGGGAAATGCAAGTGCCGGTTCTCGGCTGCACTTTCCTCACGCTGTCAGATCGTGAGGAAAGTACTGCCGAGAACCGTCAGTTGTCAGAGCGGGGATCGGCACCGATCATCAGGGCGCTGATGATCAGTGCCCTGATGATCGGTGCCCAGCAGTGCCAACCGCAAGTTCCGCCCACCTGTGCCCAGCAGTGCGCCCACTAGCTCCGCCCACCTGTGCCCAGCAGATCACCCACCTGTGCCCAGCAGTGCACCCACCTGTGCCACTCTGCAGTGTCACACACCTGTGCCCAGAAGTGCCACCCACCTGTGCCCAGCAGTGCCACCCACCTGTGCCCAGCAGTGCCACCCACCAGTGCTGCCAGTCAGTGCCCAGGGGTTGTGCCAGTCAGTGCCCAGCAGTGATGCCAGTCAGTGCCGTCTATCAGTACCCATCATCAGTGTCACCTATCAGTGCCACCTATCAGTGCTGCATATTAGTGCCGCCTATCCGTGACACCTCATTAGTGCTGTCTATCAGTGCCGCCTATCCGTGCCACCTCATTAGTACTGCCTATCAGTGCCCTTTAGTGCTGCCTATCAGTGCCCATCAGTGCCGCCTATCAGTGCCCATCAGTGCTGCCTCATCAACGCACATCAGTGAAGGAGAAAAAATGCCTGTTTGAAAAATTTTATAATAGAAACAAAGAAACTTTTTTTTTTTTTCAAAATTTTTTGCACTTTTTTTATTTATAGCGCAAAAAGTAAAGCACCCAGTGGCGATTAAATACCACCAAAAGAAAGCTCTATTTGTGAGAAAAAAATGATCAAAATTTCATATGGGTACAATGTTGCATGACCGCGCAATTGTCAAAGTGCGGCAGCGCTGAAAGCTGAAAATTGGCCTGGTAAATAAGGGGGTATAAGTGCCTGGTAGGCAAGTGGTTAATCATGACTATGTGGAATTAGGAAAATGATCCTTCCCTGGGGGAATGGGTCAGAGGATTTCATCCCCTCAGTCCATGCTGACATGTTATCTGTCCATGGGTCTGTGTAATAAGCGTCGCCAATGTGCATTACAAATTCTGAGAGTTCCCCTTCGAGGGATGGGTGTCATTTTAATGGTGGTACAATTGGCAGCAGATCTAGGCAAATCTCTGTGGGCATCTGCCAGCGGGAGGAGATGACTGCCGATAACCGGCATTTCCTTATTTACATGCGATCAGCTGTGATTGGACACAGCTGATCACATGACAGAGCCGACGTCATTGGCTTTTTCCACTGATCGGTAGAGGGCTGTGTCCCTGGGACACAGAGGTTCACCTATCGCCGTGTGCACACGCAGTCAGAGTGGAAGGACATCATATGACATCCTCGTGCGGTCCTCCAAGAGCAAGGGAACCACCGCCCGCTCGTCATTTCCTTATATGGCGGGTGGAAGGTGGTTAAAAGCCTAAAGGTAATTATTGGATTTTGAGACTAGATTGCCAAAAAGTCTATTACGTGGTATCCCCATACTCGGGAGAAGTAGCAGAATGTATTTTGGGGAGTAATTCCACATATACCCATGGCATGTGTGAGCAATAAATCATTTGACAATTTTGTGTAATAATTTATTTTTTGTCATTTTCCAAAAACTTGTGGGAAAAAAAATTCTTCTTTTGACTCAACATGTCTCTCAGCAAATAGCTTGGGGGGTGTCTACTTTCCAAAAAGGGGTCATTTTGTGGGGTGGGGGCATTTTATGCCCAGCATTAGAAGTTTATGCCACACATCACTCATTCTTCTAGACCAAGCCTTTTCTGACAAGCCTTTTTGTTCACATGAAGAAAAAAAAAAACAAACAGGAAATTACTTTGAACCCCCAAACGTTATATATTTTTTAAAGCAGACACCCTAGTGAATAAAATGGTGGGTGCTGCAATTTTTTATATCGCACAGTACTCATGTAGCATTTTTTCAAACTCAATTTTTTTGGAAAAATACACTTTTTTACTTTTAATGCACAAAAACAATATATTGACCAATTATTTTGTAGAATATAAAAGATGATGGCATGCCGAGTAAAAATATGCCAAACATGACATGCTTTAAATGTGCATGACAATCTGCATACATTTTTAATATCTATAGGGAATGCTTTGACAGTCTTTACAAGCTATCATTTAGATTTACAGAGGTCTAGTGCTAGAATTACTGCCCTTGATTTGACGTGTGCAGCGATACCTCACATGCATGGTGCTGTTTACATACTGGCAAGGGGTAAATGATCGCACAGAGGGGAGGGGGCGAAGGGTTTTTTTTTTTTTTTTTCCTTTTAGTTATTTTGATTTAATTATTTTTACACGGTCCCTTTCATTTTTTTTCTTTTAAATCATGTTTAAAACTATCGCAGGTAATGCACATATCCCCTGTAACTTCATTGGGCATTGACATACATTATTTTTTTGCAAAATATGGGGTCTATCAGACTCTATATATATCCTCTGCCCTACATCATCTAATCTCACCAAGATCAGTGTGATCAGATGCTTTCCCAATTTACAAATGGCGCTGTTTATATCCTGCAAAACTGAAGCGATGAAATGCTTGTAGCTTCTGATTTCTTAGACTATAGAGATGATTGGCACCATTCTGGTCTCCAGTCAGCTCTATGGTCAGCTGGCAGAAACACCGACTGCATTTTCAGGTTCCCTCGATGGCACAGGACTGCCCGAGAAGGCTATGGAAGGCAGCGGGGAGGGAGGTATCTTCTCCCGCTGCTTGTAAAAGCAATCCTGCAGCGAATTAGCCACATGAAAGTCGACCGCCAGCTGAAAAAAATGATACCAAGATGATGCCTGCAACTGCAGGCATCATCCTGGTATAACCACTCAAAGTCCAGTGATGTACCAGTATGTTGTTGGTCCTAGTTGGCTATATATGCTATATTATTTTTCAGTTGAAACAGAAAAAACAAAACCTCCTGTGCTCTAGGACTCAAAACAAGGGTGGAAAGGTGAAAGGATTCTGTCGGGGATCGCCTCGGCGCAGGTGCAGTGCACCGCCCTGTGCAGGGACTCGGGCGCTGGGACCTGGCCGACCGCGGCAATCGAGTTTGCGCATGCGCAGTAGAGACCGCGGGCGCGCGCCTGGCTCCAATGTCAGCGCAGGGCGGGATATTTAAATGGCCCTGAGCTGTCATTCAGTGCCTTCTGGTCTCCTTGTATCCTGTGAACCTGTTTCTAGTGAGTTGCTGACCCGGATTGTGCCCTGACCTTGCTGCTTTCTTCTGTCTTGACCCTTGCTTGCCTGACCTCTCTCCTGGATGCCCCCTATTGGATCTGCCCTTCTGTTGCTGACCTGGCGTGTGACCCGACTATTCTTTGCCCGCTGCTCTGTACCGCACCGTCCCTATAGTTACCGACCCGGCCTGCCTGACCTTGCACTTGCTCAGCCATCCATCCATCCCTCTCAACGGGGTCTCCAGACCTCCTCATACCTGGCTCTCTCCCATGGGAGCCCCTGGCGAATACCCCTACCACTGACGGGTGTCCTCAGTAGTCACGACCTGGTCCCGGGGTACTCCAAGTCCATCCCCACCATCAGGGGCTCTGGTGAACAAGTACTCTGGGGCTTAGACTCCGTACGCTGGGGACGCCTGATCAGTGGAGTGCTAGTGGTAAGAAGGCCATGACTGAGCCTAGAGAAGGGCCCTCCCCGCTAGAGGAAATTTGCAGGCACTTAGCTAATTTGACGCAGGCCATAACGGCCCTGCAGGACAGGTGTATGCAGCTGGAGAATTGCTTCCAGACTTGCTCTATATCTGACCCTGCTCCACAGGCCCCGGTTTCTGCACCCCTGGCCATGGTAGCTCAGGAGCCAGCCTCAGGGGCTTCCGCCCCGCTCCCTATGGCAGAACCCCGAGTACCCTTACCGGAGCGTTTCCACGGAGACCGCACACTCTTCCGGTCATTCCGTGATTCCTGTCTCCTGTTCTTTGAGCTACAACCCCGTACCTTTCTGACCGAAAATGTGAAAGTGGGATTCGTCATTTCACTATTGCAGGGTGAACCCCAGGATTAGGCCCATCGGTTAAGGGGAAACAATGACCCTCATCTGGGATCGGTCAGTAGTTTTTTTGAAGCGATGGCCATCTTGTATGATGACCCACAGCGGGCAGCCTCTGCCGAAGCGACCTTATATACGCTCCAACAGGGCCGGCCGGCGGGCGGCAGAGGAATACGCCTCTGATTTCAGGCGGTGGATGGGACACACACGCTGGAACGAGTTTGCTCTGCTGCACCAGTTCCGTATGGGGCTGTCTGATCCCTTGACAGATGAGCTGGCCCGGGTGGAGGTTCCCGAATCTCTAGAAGACCTTATTACCCTGACAATTAAAATAGACCGAAGACTGCGGGAACGCAGGTTTGAGAGGTCCGGCCAGGGTCGCGGAAATACCTGGGGTCCATTCCAAGGCCCCAGCCAACCAACTAGACCAAGCATCGAGAATCTACCACCAGGAGATGTTCCAGAACCTATGCAGCATAGGCCTGGTGCGGCCTAAATTATCACCGGAGGAACGCCAGCGCAGACGAGCCCAGAACCTCTGCCTCTACTGCGGTGAAGCTGGTCATATGGTGCGATCCTGCCCTCAGAAAATGAGTAAGTGCACCTCTTCTTCCTCTTTGTCTATTAGCAATACCAGTCCTTCTCAATACTTAGTGGTGCCCCTCTCCTTTCAGCTTCCAGAAAGGACCGTGGAGGTGACAGCCATAGTTGATTCGGGGGCATGCAGCTGTTTCCTGGATTTAGACTTTGCTCACCAGCAGGGTATTCCCCTCCAACACAGAAAGAAGGGCTTCAACATATTTTTGGCCGATGGTTCCCAGATAAAATCAGGGGTAGTTAATCAGGAAACTCCCCCCATCGCCACTACCATTGCCAACCAACACCAGGAATTCCTCCGCCTGGATGCTATTGCGTCACCTCTTTTTCCAGTCATTTTGGGGCTCCCATGGTTACGGGCCCATAACCCCCAAATTGACTGGGAAACCGGGTCAATCTCGTTCCCTTCCCCATACTGTCGGGAACATTGTCGCACTTCGGGCCCCGCGGGGCCCTGGGTTCTCCTATGCTCCGAAGGAGACTGATTTAAAACAAGTTATTCCCGCAGCCTATCATGGGTTCCTGGATGTATTCAGTAAACGGGGAGCAGATACTCTGCCCCCCCACCGCCCGTATGACTGTCCCATCGACCTGTTACCGGGCTCTGAGATTCCTTTTGGGCGAATTTTCCCCCTATCTGAGCTTGAATTGGGGGCCCTAAAAGAATATATTGAGAACAGCCTCCAGAAGGGATTCATCCGTCCCTCCACTTCTCCAGCAGGAGCGGGAATCTTCTTCGTGGAAAAAAAGGACAAAACCCTGAGACCATGTATTGACTACCGGGAGCTGAACAGGGTCATGATCAAAAATCGTTACCTGTTGCCATTGGTACCAGAATTGTTTCAGAGCCTAAAGGCTGCGGTTATATTCACAAAACTTGATTTAAGGGGGGCCTATAACCTGGTACGCATAAGAGAGGGGGACGAGTGGACAACGGCATTCCGTACCCGGTTTGGCCATTTTGAATACTTGGTCATGCCATTTGGGCTGTGCAATGCACCAGCCACCTTACAACATTTCGTGAACGACATCTTCAGGGATTTTTTGGATATCTTTGTTATCGTCTATCTGGACGACATACTGATTTTCTCACCCTCCCTGGAGGATCATAGAATGCATGTGGCAAAGGTGTTGGGGCGGTTGCGGCAGCATGGGTTATATGCCAAGGCGGATAAATGTTGCTTCGAGCAATCCAGCATTACGTTTCTAGGTCTGATTATCTCCACCGCGGGGGTCGCGATGGACCCCCAGAAGGTCTCTGCAATTTTAGATTGGCCTGAACCCACGGACAAAAAAGGCATCCAACGGTTTATTGGGTTCGCAAACGTTTATCGAACGTTCAAGAACTTCTCAGGTCTGGTCTCCCCCATTACTCAATTAACCAAACTTGGAATCCAGTTCAGATGGACACTGGAGGCTCAGGAAGCCTTCGAAGCTTTGAAAAAGCTATTTACCTCGGCACCCATTCTGGGCCACCTGGACGCGGCCCTGCCCTACATCTTGGAGGTAGATGCATCGGAGAATGCGGTAGGATCCATCCTGTCCCAGCGGAAAGGCACCAAAGAATTACTCCATCCCGTAGCATTCTTCTCGAGGAAACTCACCCCAGCTGAGAAGAATTATGATATCGGCGATCGAGAGCTGTTGGCTATCAAAGCAGCGTTAGAGGAATGGAGGTACCTGCTGGAAGGTGCCTCACACCCCATCTTGATTTTCAGAGATCATAAGAATCTGGAGTACCTGAGGACCGCCAAGCGTTTACGCCCACGACAGGCGAGATTGGTTTTGTTTTTCTCCAGGTTTAACTTTCACATTACATACAGGCCGGGATCTAAAAATACGAAGCCTGATGCGTTATCCCGTATGTATGAGGACTCCAAAGAAGAACTGGTACCCGACATTATCCTGTCTTCTGGGAACTTCTTGGCGCTCCAGACGGACCTTCGTTCCAAGCTAATGGAAGCATCTACGGCCACGTCAACCCCAGTTTGGGTGTCCCTCCAGAACAAGGGGGGACTCCTATGGAAGGAAGATTTAATCATGGTACCTGAGGAAGTCCGAACCCTGGTTTTGGGACATTGCCATGATCACCCGCTGGCAGGACACTTTGGCCCAGCCAAGACTCTGGAGCTTCTCCGGCGCTCTTTTTGGTGGCCAAACATGGCTAAGGATTGCAAGCGCTATGTGAGATCCTGTACCATCTGCCAGAAGAGCAAACCATCGAGAAGCAAAGCTTGGGGGCTGTTGTGGCCTTTGCCGATTCCCGAACGGCCTTGGCAGAGGATCGCGATGGACTTCATAGTCGAGCTCCCACCGCCACGAGACCACACAGCAATTCTTGTGGTCGTTGATCGCTTATCCAAGATGGCTCACTTCGTACCATTAAGGAAGACTCCGTCAGCAGCCGAGACGGCACGAATATTTATCCGGGAGATCGTTAGACTACATGGAGTACCTGAGGACATTGTCTCTGATCGAGGGGTCCAATTTACATGTAAATTTTGGAGGGCTCTGTGCAAGGCCCTGGACATCAAGTTATCCCTCTCCTCTGCGTTTCACCCTCAGACCTCAGACAAACGGTCAGACCGAGAGGACTAACCAGACCCTGGAGCAATACTTGCGTTGCTACACGTCTTTCCTTCAGGATGATTGGTTGCCACTCTTACCCTTGGCGGAATTCGCTTATAACAACGCAAGCCATTCTGCAACAGGGCAGTCCCCATTCTTTTCTAATTATGGGTTTCACCCCGTCTTTCTCCCCGATTTGGTCTCTGAATGCCCAGTTCCGGCAACGCAGGATGCATTAACCTTCTTCTTCTCTAACAACAAAGTACTCCAGGAAGCCATCGCTCGGGCCCAAGAGGACAATAAGAATGCGTTTAACAAGAAACGAAGAGGGGATCTGGCGTTGCGGCCTGGGCAGAAGGTGTGGTTGGCTACAACCAATTTGAAGATGCTCTCTCCCTCGAAAAAATTGGGACCTAAATTTGTGGGGCCTTTTCGGGTAAAGCGGATGGTCAACGAGGTAGCATATGAGCTTATCCTTCCTGACACATTCAAAATTCATCCGGTCTTCCACGTGTCCTTGCTGAAACCAGTGATCCCAGATGCCTTCCCAGAACGAGAATCCAGACCTCCGGAGGCCATAACTGTCGAAGGACAAGAGGAATTTGAGGTGGAAACAATCCTTAAGTGCCGAAGAAGGGGGGGCCAGACCCAATTCCTAATTAAATGGAAGGGCTATGGTCCAGAGGACAATTTCTGGGAACCAGCTCATAATGTCCACGCACCCAGACTAGTCCG